CAAATAAGAATACGGTACGTGGCTGGGTAGCCAGTAGTTATGCATGTATTTAGATTTTGATATATATATATTTGGGAAAATCTATACGTTTGAAATTAGGAGTCGTTGCCGCAAGTAAAAATAAATAAATTCAGTTTTGATCTAAACGGAAGAGTTAATTAGCCTTGGGTCAAGGCAATAATTACTCTTGGAGTAAGCGGATTGCGATTCGCTAAACTCGTACTTGTTCTAAGTATAAAGCGAAATGTCGAAGGCCTAACTTACGCTACCTCAAAGCGCAAAGCTACGGCAGCCCCGTGCATCATTAAATTTATAATTTTCAGTACCTACTATGGTTTACAAAACTCGGGGAGTAGAGCTTACAATCCACATGCTAGTAGCCCTACTTCTTTTAAAACGAGTAGCGTCTTGTAAAAATGAGCAGCATTGACCACGGCCTCTACGAAGTTTAAAAATGACAGTGGTCTACCCTGCACATACTAAGATTCGACGGGGTGCAACAGGGTTGTCGGGCATTTTGTACAAAGGAGCTTAGAGTACAGGAGTCCCCCCTCAACAAACGCATCAAGGTTGAGTTCGTGATCTTGAATCATATGCAAAACCATTTTTTAAAAGTAAGCTAACCTTCTTTGCTATCCCATTTAAGTGTAACATATATTCAGGAAGGATGGCACTTTTGAATAATCACAATTCCACACAACTGTAATGTTTTAGAGTAGATGGGAGCATGCAACTATTGTTCATGCTTTTCTGTATTCAATCCCACCTCTAGGTGTCCAAACATGTTAGTCCGATTAATTGTTTTGCAATAAACCTCCTAAAAGTGTTAACTACCTGACACCTTTTGTGACTCTTCTACTTCAGTGTCCATAGGAAGTACTCTATCAGAGATGTTTAGACTACACATATGTTTTCAAGTTATATCCTGAACGCAACAGTGTAGTCAAATCAATTCTGAAAATGTGGTGTAGCTGGTAACAGAGAGCATCTAGGATGACTTTCTTTTGGTGGCATCTTGGAAAAAAGCGGTGTAGGGATATTGTAGTAGCCGATCGATAACACTTGTTGTTTCGGTGAAACATTCAGCTGGCGGTCTGGTCGGGGACATCTGATCTGCTAATCTGGTCGGGGACATCTGGTCTGGTCGTGGACGATTTATATCTGGTCGGTCTGGTCGGCGACATCTGGTCTGGTCTGGACATCTGGTCTGGTCGGAGTCTCAGAGATCAATTTTGTCGTGAAATCGTGTGGTATCTATCATATTGAAGTTGAGTTTTTTTTGAGTTTGTCATCAACATGCAAAACTTAGCCCATGTTCAATATTGCAACTGCTTTAAGTTTTATCTTTACCAAACTCTAAATTGAATACAATACACATGAAACCTGCTGCGGATTTAAAATTCGATACACTGAACAGACTGTGTTGCGGGTATCTCCGCAGACCTTTAGAGGCCAGCTTAAGTATTTTCAGATTTAAATATTTCATCTGTTTTGAAATCCATTTCGGAGAAAGCTTTACTTTGAGCATGCTACATTAATTTTCATCGTTCACGGATGTGAAGGTTTTTTTTATTGGGGTAGGGGATGAAACAGTAACTTATCTATATGAAAAGCAAATTGTATAAAAATGACTACTGTAAAACTTGCTGGAAAAGAAGAGATTATATTGCACAATTAATTTGACTGAACTGAGATGATCATAAGAACACTGAAGCCAATTAGCAATTACAATCCAAAAATTTGCTGACTTCCCATTGTCCCTTCCTCCTCACTATATAAATGTATTGCATCAAAGATCATAAAGTGATTAGATTCTTTAATCGTAATATAATACAATGGATCTTACTATATTTATCACAGAATTGCGCTTACGAGGTCTAATTCCTAAAGTTCAGTCCAACAATGTCAAAGATTCGTATTGATTACAGCAATTCAATACGGTTCTTGATCCTCCCCTTCTTCTTTCTGGCAGAGAAGAAGTTTTGGGCAGAATCGTATTACTGCTGTACATAAAAATTTCATTGAACCCTAGATTAGCTCCAGTCTGCAACTATATGGTAGATCAACAAGGCATTGATCTGTCTGTCACAATTAGTTTTCTGCTCGACTTCCTACCACGCAATCAACACCGACCAGCCCAATGCGCTTGATTTATCTCCGTCGAACAATAGCACTAGCCATCGCTGCGTTTCTTGCATGCCCCGAGGCAGCCACGATGGAGGCCATTGCTACGGAATCGCAAGGTCATCAACACGTAAGACAAGTGACAGCGAGTCAAGATGGTAGCCGATCTGATGAAAGGTACTCAATTTCAGCGATTATTCAAAAGATTAGAAGCGCCGCATTGAAGACCCTCAGCAAGGATGACTTTAAGAAGCGTAATCCAGTGGGCTATTATACGAAAAAGTTCGAAGAGCAAATCCTCCGCAATTTGAATACACGCAAGGAGTTGTTCACGAGTGGAGCATTCAAAAAGTGGAAATCTTCGATTGAAAATTTCTATATGAATAGAAAAGGTGTCGTACCGTTAGAGACGGGCGTATCCTCACAGGACCAAGCTTATGACCTTATGTTCATAATCCTGTTTGAAAAACTTAAACCGAAAGAATTTGTCGCTCAGCTCGAACACGTTGCGCAAAATTACAACCTCAATATTTTCGTAACCAGCCAAGTCCGTCGACTGATCGATAAATGGTTTGTTGAAGCTAAATCTGCGATCGATTTTAAGTCTATTGATTCTCTAATCGAAGCTCTCAAAAAGAGTATCACTCCGAGTAATGAGCTGAGTATCGCAGCGGGTATGCTCCACAAGAGTAGTCCATTAGGAGATAGAGCTGTTTGGAGCTTTCTCAGGGAATTTACCGATAGAGGTGTTTCTCAAGATCTCGGCAAGAAAATTTTATCGGAAGTTATGGAGGGTAATATGTACGTAGCTAAAAGTCGAGAACAACTACTGCGTGATTTAGATTCGAAGAAATTCCGTCAGTCAGCTATAGAAACGCGCAGAATAAGTTCTAGAAGTGTCTGGAATCATCTTTAAAGTCAGACTTTCGGCGTTCCGAAAATTAAAATTTATCCACCGCACTCCTTTTGTACGCACTTTAATGTTTCCTCATATTCCGTACAAAAGGTGGTTTACCTCACTGTTGCTGCACTGTACTTTTAAACTGCTGCTATTCGGCACTACCCTTAAGATAAAAGCCAAATGTAAATTGTGAGTTCGACCACTGTTGAAGAAAAAGTAACAAGTGTATGCTAGATCGTTATTTTACTGAGTGTTGTTTACTATCCTCTGCTAAGAATGATGTAAGAAATTTGGACCGCCAATTTATATACCAGTACCATACTTTAATCCCCACAAAATACCAAGCGCAAAAAATGTCTCATTAATACACCTTCTCGTTAAACCTCATAAGGGCGGCCCGTGCTTTTGGGTGTTGTCGTTTCTCCGCGACAAAACAGACTGGTTATAAGCGGGACGTCGGTCTGATGAGCCTATACGAGCCTTGCGCAAGGGACATCCAGTCCGAAGTTGAGAGACAAAGCACGTCGGGTGTTTAAACGCTGCTCGGCAGTTTGAAGCTCTCCCTTCTTTTTCTCAGCATAGCTGAGATGCGTTGGCTCAGGCCCGCTCAACGAGCTCTGAGGGTTTGCATTCCAACGATGCCGCGCCAACTTAAATTTTTTGGCAAGCAATGATACATTCACCGCTTCTTTAAAAAAAGGAGGATGCACACGAAATACTTCCATTCCAGCCGCACCAATGCGGAGGTCTTCCATAAAGACGGTCACTCCGACCGCCTCGGGAAGAGGATCGGTTAACATCCCGGCAATGAGAGTTTTCAACTCTTGGACAAATTCATCAACTCATTCTTGCCCTGTCGAGCGGCGGGAACACTCGAAAACGCTGCAGCTTCAGCTCCATTTAAAAGGGAAACGCCGCTTCAACCGATGTGTCGCACGTCAGTGCTCTTTCTCGCGCTCGACCCCCGAGCTTCGAGATAGTTAGCGCCACGCTGTGTTGCTCTGTCTGGAGCTTAGAAGATGTCATAACCATCTCGGCCCAACTTTTCCAGAGCATGATATTCTGTCCATCCTTACCCTAGACGGTCTGAACGCTCACCATGAGCGACCTGGGTCGGGAATAGTCATCCGTCGTTGACGGTGGCGTCATGAACGCAGTTGATGCTGACATCTTAATCTCGAGGTGATCTAGTAGAGCATTTTCATAGTTCGGAACGCCTCTATGCGCACTTATCGCTTCGAGTCCTTGCAAAACAAAGTTTTCACGCCCTCGTGGCCAAGCAGGGACATCATCTAATTAAGCCCGTTCTGCATGCCCTGAGGCAGATAAAAGAATGGCTCCAACCTCACAGAAGATCAGTCGTAACGACTCAGGCGTAGATTTACTTCAAGTGCTACCAAATGCAGAGGGGCTGTCGTAGCTCTTTGCTTATAGGAAGTTAAGCTAAGGTCGCTGACCTTACGCTCTATACTAGAACCAGCGCGAGTCTAGCGGATCACAACCTGCTACATCCAAGAGTATCCTAAACCTTGACCATGGAAATTTCGCTCTTCCGTTCGACATTAAAAGTGTACTTGTCTGTTTTTTTGCGACAGAGTCGCCTATATCTAAAACCTTTATAGTAAAACCTAATTGATATGCAAAACTACTGGCAGGCCCGCCACGTAGTGGTGGACTGTTAGGGTGTAGCCACACCATTATGTGATTACATCGATTTTTTTAATCCACAGCTTTGCACGGTCATACCATCTTGTGTGAACCACCCTATCATACAAGGGTAAGTGTTACCCCGTTTCATTGAATTTGACATGGAAAATTTTACATTAATGTAGCTCTTTGTTTTGAGTTATAGAAATTATATTACGCGTGATGCTGGCTTGACTGAAGAACGACGACGAATTTATTCTCATTATCATCTAACTGGTTAAAAGTGCGGCCGTTGATAGCGGCGAAATTTTTTACATATGACATAAATGGCATGTCACATGACACAGAATACAGCAGAAGTGCGGCATCAAGGCTATAAAAGTAACTTCTATGAGCGCTTTGTATATGGGTCCCTGCAGTTCTAATGACGCTTGCACGAGTCAAAAAAAATTTTCTCCCTAGCCACTGCAAACAGATATGAACGCATAATTCAATTGAGTAGCGGCAAGGAGCAACTACCTCGTTTATAACAAGAAGTTACATGCCATGAAGTATGCATTTGTAATCTATATAGATCTTGAGTCGTCATTCACAGCTACATCGGCACTACAATCTCCGTAGAGAATGACATGATGGTTTCATTCTTTTTCGAATATATATATATCGTTGTGCTTGGAGACGGATTATCCGCATAGAACATTTGGTGCTATGAACAGCGACATTGCTAATATCTCTTATAAAAATGACATGTGATTTTCCTTCTTTGCCGAATCTACCTGTTCATCGAACCAGTTGAACGCGATGGCGGATGCGTTCGCTTCTCATAATTTTAAGCAGTCGCATGTAACGATGGGGACGCTGATTAAGCGATGATAAATAGTCATATACAATATGTACTCCGTCATTTTAAGCTTCGGGAAGCAAAAGCAAAGGTCCCACTCGAGCAAAAATGTGATCGCATATTTACAAACCTACTTTCATTCCAAGATTTGCTGTGTTTAAGCATTATATTGACATGAGGCGTAAGATAGTACTCCATCATGTAATACTTTAATCTGAACAACTTCGCAATGCTCACAGTAATCCTTAGTATTGACACCTCGGAAGAGAAGCAGATGCGCGCTAAATACTGGTGGGACAATGGGTTTACAGCGGAGTATTGATTTTTATCTACATGCGTTACGTTTAGACTTGTGAAGCGCTTGCAACATTTGCCAGCACCTTGGCTACTCTGTCGGACCTGATGTAATGTTGGAAGTCCATAAGTATGGACCTCTGAAGGACTCTCAGGAACCATGTCCGGTAATATTGGCTTACGGACCTTAAAAGAAATCATATTCATTTTGCTAATATCAATGATATTGTTACCAGTGACATTACAATCAAGCCGAACTCGACAAGGCATTTTGTCCACACATCTTGCTGGCGTGAACAAAGTAATTCTAATGACTCACTCCTCGATCACGGATCTCCTGTCACACATCGTGAAATTTCCTCAGCAAAAAGTTAAAAGAAGCCGTATTATCCTCAAAGATACGCGTAGCACTCAACGTGCGCAGTCAAACCCATGCATATTAATGGATGGACTCAGCTCTTGCAACGTTATGCAAACACTCCTTCGTTATTACATTTTTGTTAAGAGTTATTATAATGGAATATCTAATTTTGTAGCACCATCAAATCGCTTCATAGAAAAGTAAAAATCGTTTTCGTCATCAACCCGGTACACATCACTGCTCCACACGGCGAGTGAATCATACGGCGCTAACCCCGCAGTACCCTTGCATCACTGCAAAGATAAGCATCCTCAATAGCCTTACAGCCTATTATAGCACTTGATACATTCCACGCCCGTCTTTGAGAAAGATCAAGGCCAAAGGCGCTATTAATCTCCACCACTTCTAGCCAAAAAGATTAAATATGTTGGTGAGTGTATCACTCTGAGGACCACGATCCAGCAGTTTTGATCGCAATTGTCTGACTCATTTGCCTCCCGAGCTCTGCTGAGAGCCTTTAGCAATATCTTTGCCGGATAAATGCAAACAATTCGAAGCTCTAACGAGACAATCGTAGTTTCATGCCCGCACCAACATTGCTTTTAAGAGAAAATTGAACATGACTTGCCAAAGCATCACCAGAAAAAATGTGTGGCATTTTACCGCTCCATGTTGA